TGTAGGCATTCAGGGGCTGCAATACTGCAATTTGCACCACCTCCTGCCCCTCTCATGGCCACATCTTCCATCCTTCTGACTGTAAATCCACATGTCGTCTCAATGGACTTAACAACAAAACTCTGAACATACAACCCTTTATGCCACTGCTCGTTTGAAACAAAGAGCATCATGAGACATCTGTGCTGGTGGCTTGCCTGCTGAAGTGGATCAAAAGTGAATTGCACAGAAGTATCTCCAGTCATTGCTCCCCAGAGATCACGATGGATAAGTCTACGATGGATAAGTCTATTGTAAAGATACAATAAAATACTTTATTGTGTATCTTTAGACTTCACGGTTTTCTTTTTTAGCCTGAATTCCTTTGCTTCTCTTCCACATGATCTCTTTGTATCCTAGAACTGACACATTAAAGACCAAAAGGGACTGTCTGATGATCTCCTTTGATCCTCTGCATGCCACAAGCCATTGAATTTCAAGAGGGACCTCCTTTATGAAATGTATATAATTTAGCTTCTCACAGGCTGAAACACGTTATTTTTGAGCAAACTGAGTGCCATGGGCAGGAATCAGGGGGTGCTGAGGTAGCAAGCAAAACCAGAATTTCTGCCATATAAAGTAAAACATGCCCTTAAAACATCCTCCTTAAAAACAACAGAACCACTTTGAAAGGACTATAATGCTACAGAGTTTTTGGTGAAGCATCCCCAGCATAAGCAAGTCATGTTTCAGCCGAGCCCTCCCACCAGTGTTCCTCAGCACCCTGCACTGCATTTGCATGGGCCTTTCCATCTATCTTCTCATTTACCTAAGACACTCTACACTCTCATTGAAGGAGACATGAACATCATGATCTATCCTTGAGTTATATACACTGGAGCTCTGCCTGCAGAGAGGATCAGGTTCAAGATCATCTTTGCACCTTGAAGATAATGTGGAGATGTTTGCAAATAACCAGCTATGCAAGGAAGAGAAAACCTGTCTTCTGAGGATACAACAGTATGTCTGCAAAACATAGCTAGAATAAAATCTTGAAGAACACTGAAGCCCTCTGAATAAAGGGAACTCTGCCAGTGACAAGTGAGAAGGTAGAGCTCACCTCTAAATCCCCCTAAACAGTTTCTTTCCCTTCTTTCCTTGCAAGAGGCCCAGAATTTCGTCATGTAATCCTCTCTACAAAGCTAAAGCCACGGAAAACCAGCAACTTTCTTGCAAATCCAGAATTCACGCTGCCATCTCTGGTGGATTCTACTACAGCAGAAGACGGAGGAAACGCTCATTTCTGTGCAGCACTTTTAGCTCTCTCTCTGCTAGCAATGTCCTTCTTCCCCACCAGGTTCTCATGATGGCACCCAAGCCAGAAAATGTAATGGTTAGTGATTTATCTTCCTAACATAACTAAACCCAAAAAAGAGAATCTGCCACTTGTTTGCCCACACATTTCAATTCTCCTACCCAGCATCCCAAAACATCTCCATTCTTTCCTTCATTTGGAAGCGGGCAAGATGATGACGGATGAAAGGAAAAACAATGATGTCAGATATAAAACACACAATACCATTTTATTGAAACTGAAACAAAATTTAAAAATATAGCAGCAGCAAATAAATGTACTATAGCAATTTCAGTATTTCCCTGAGTTTTACTGGATTACAATTTCCATATACATTAAGTAACCTGAACTTTAGGGATATAAAGCTGGGGGTTTGGGGAAGGTATTTCATGCTGTACAAATTCTGCGTGTACTTGTGATTACAAGAACTACCTAGCACTCCACTGACCAGTAAGATCTTACCTATCCACAGAGATATTAAGATATGGACCTTTGGTAAGGGAAACTCATTAGTACGCAAGGAGGTCTAGTTGAAACTGCTCCCATAAAATTGAGGGGGTATTCAAACGGTCTTCAACGGTTTAGTTAATTAAACTTTAACCCAACTCCAGAGATGCATTTTAACATCGTCCCAGATTTATCAACACATAATCACCCAGCCAGTGGCCACAACAACTGCTCGGAGCAAGGCCTAGTGACAACAGGGCTTTGTTGTTCCTTCAAATACAGATGCGAGAGCACACACACGGCAACATCCCAGCACTGCAGCTTTGAGTGGTGTCTTCACGAATTTCCAGAAAAGCAGCTGAACTTGTGGCAACTGCTGATCCTCTAGTGCACACGATACCATGTAGTCCCCAGAGCAAGAAGGTGTGGCAGGATCCAACAAGGTCACTTTCGTAAGGAAAAGCAAGCTTACCAAAGTGTAAGTATCACCCACTTGGTTTTGCTTTCCTCCCTTCCTCTAGCCACATCCAGGTAAAATCCTGGTGGGAGCATGTTGCCTGGAGCCACACACCTGCAGGACTGCCAATACCTCTCGTCCTGTTGTTGATACCAGCAACAGAAGCATAAAATGCTACAGCACTGTCAATCAGAAAGCATGGTTGGAATGGTTTTCAAACCATTCACTCTCAGTTTTACTGCCATCGTTAAGCTAAGGAAACAACTTATTTCAGAGTCAGCATCCCCACAGAAAAGAGGGCATGACATCCACAGGATGCATTGCTCAGAGACTGCAGGTGAGGTCAGAGGGAGTTACTCAGAGTAAGAGAAGCTTGCCACTAATCTAGTAGATCAGGACAAACAAGTTCTGATCCAATTAAAGACCCTCATATTACTAACTGTATTACTCCATTGTGTCTTAGTAGTTTTCAATCTGCCTACTTGATTATTTGCTTAAAAACACTTCCATCATATGAAATAATAAAAAAGTTTATAACTTTTTCCTTAATTCAGAATTGATAATATCCTTTAAAGAAAATTTTTAAAAAAGCTCCATCAAATATATCTAAATTTAGAACAGAATTTTTGCCTCCACATTGCTAGATCACCCTACAGAAAATATTGCATGTAGCTTGTATAATTTAACTGGTCAAATTGACAAAATATGGATAAATATTAAGACTGGGAAAAAAAAGCAGGTTTTTCCTCCAGGTAAGGACCGCAAACAAAGAAATCCGTTCTATGTTTGTATACAAGGTTGTATCACTTTCTTAAAAGAAACAAGCTTTTACAACATTTTCCTCAGTTCTTTCAGCTTTGCCCTTACAATAGTCACTGTTTTGCCCCCCAAAATACAGCAGTTACAGAAAGGCAGAAATCTGCCTACAAGTGTAGAAAGGTAACAGAGCACTGGTTTGATCTCACCAACGAAGAGATTAAAAAAACCTGGACCAAGACTGAGTAGTATCCTTGCTTGTGGAATTGCTTCTTTTTAATAGTACACATGCTGAGGAAGAGACTGAGTAACGAAGGGCTTCAGTTCACAGATCATGTGCAGATTTTGCTACGCTGGCTGAGGTGGTTTACATACCAGAAGTTACTGTCCAACAGCAGAGACAAATAGAACAACACATGCGTTTTTCTCTTTGGGTTATAAAACCAGGTTCAAGAAGCACAACATAATAAGCCAGATCTGAAATGGAGACAGTAAATTCCTGTACAAGGGTACAACAGAAAATTAAAGGTGTGACTTTCTTCAGCTAAATCTTTTGGAGACTGAAATACAGTGCTTTGATTGCCCAGTAGAAAATGCAGGTATCGAGTATCAGAAGAATGACAGCACTCAGGCCTAAAACCATCACGACCCAGAGGCTCCTGTGCTGCAAAAAGACTAAGTATCACCCTTTGTGCTGATAAAACTCTCTTTCAGATCAAGCAATCAAAATTTATATAAATTTTTGGTCAAATCACAAGACAGATGCTCCTCTGAAAGACCGAGTAACATTAATAAAACACATCAGCCAATGATCTTCATTCTTCAAAGACCTGCAGCAGCATCACAGAAAATCTATTTAAAAGGCATTCTCTATTTAGAACACTTTCTTTAATTCCGCAGATGATGGCTGCCTCAACAGAAGACATTTCTTCCCAAGATGTTCTATTGTCCCTGCTGCTTATTTTTTCTGTAGTATCAGAGTGCCTTTGTTACATTTCTTGCTGAACTATTTATGCATTTGTGACAATAGGATCGTTTGATGAGCCATCATCCTCCTAGAACACAAGACAGCATCAAGTCCTGACAACACCAAATGCAGGAATGTTGCAAGAACAATTAACCAGTATTTCTCCAATTCAACTGAGCACGAAGCTTACAGCAGGTCCGTCTTGGGCAGCAGAAGGAAATAAACCAGTCACTAGACTTCAGGAGATCTCACTGTATTATGCAGAAGTAGCACAAGTCCTTACACCTTTCATCCTGCTTCTTCCAGCGCGAAGGAAGAAGGCCATCAGCAATCTCTCTCAAATCTCTGCTGCTGAAAACTGCCACCTCATGTGCGTCTCTCCTCACGTCCCCCTCCCACCTCATAATCCTTTTTTTGAGGCTCTCCCAGCCATCTCCACAAGAACTAACTGGAACTTCTGGTGATGAAGAAGCAAAGATCTTGCAAATATTCCTATTAAGAAACAAGGGAAAAATGTGTATTTAAAATATTTCTGATTAAAGTGTTCAGCATAGTCAGAGATTTTTTTTTTTCCAGGTGGTCAAATGCCTCTATTAGCTAAGACTACAATTTGTTTTGAAGTCATACACTAATTTTTTGCTGATGAAAGACAGAAGAGCCCTGAAAACTCAAGCAATGCACTCCGTTATAAATGTACAGTGCAAGAAGTAGCTATAACGCAAGCCCGTCCAAACTATGTATAACCAGCCTCAAATCCTAACATGGAAAAGCCACCTCTTAAAAAAAGTTAAAAATTTAACCATTGTCTTATCTTGAGGCCATTTAGCCCAGTACCACACTACTGGGTCCACAGGGAACGTGTATTCTTTCTCCTCTGAGAGGACAGCAAATTCTGAAAACAACTTCTAAGGGCCACATAAAAGAATCATGATTTCAAAGTCTGCTGCTTCTAGGCTATGTCACTGTCTAAGACAATACTCTTTAAACATCTCGTATTTAAGCTCCAAAGTCTCCCTAAGTGAATAAAGAAGACTGATTCAAGGAGAGGATTATGGAAATCCCCTACTACTAAGCAGAATATTCTTCCTACTATTGAACAGACACTGATGACTTCCAAAAATTATACAATTAGGAAATTAAACGTCTATTCTTTTTCATAAATCAGTGTAGCACTACTGATTTTCAGAAGAGGAACCAGTAGTGTGTTTATGATGTCTCCCTGTTCCTACAAGAGGTCCTTAAATTTACTGTTTAAACGTGAACAACCCTTTGTGAGGCAGCAGGAAATACTGCCTTGATTGGGTATTTTACATTGGTGAAGAATGCACTGCATCCTCTCAGTAAGTTGTTCCAGTGGCCGTTTACAGGGTAAATATAATTTCTGAGCAGACTAAATTACAACAGTCTTAAATTTCAATCACAGGAACTCTTTGGATCTCTCCCTTCTTAATTTTCTAAGTCTCCGTTACAAAACAGAAAAAAAGCTTTCTACCTCATAAATACCTGCAGATTGTGACTGAATTATCCCCTCATGTCCTTTTTGTTAAGCTCAAAGGCAAAATAGCTTTGTTAAGCCGGTGAAAAGCCATAGTTTCCTGTCCTTTAATCAGGCTCGTGATTGGTCACTGAACCCCAATTTATCAGAAGACTTTCTAACTTGCTAAGATTAGAATCGGACATAATCTTCCAGAATCAGACAGCTTTTTACTCAAAATCACCCTGTTTATTTATTTCAGATGTATTTTGGACCTCTGAATTAACGTAGCACTGAGATCATAAGCTTTAGTTGACCACCTACCTCGAATCCTGTTTAGAATTACTACTTTATCACTTCATGATGCATTTCCCACTCTAAAAGTAGGATGTTATTCTTTGGTCCCGGATGCATGATATTTTTTCCTTTAGCCATGTGGAAAAGTATACCATTAGTGTGTGCTTATTTCCTCTTTTTATGCTACCCACTCCTTAAGTATCCTAAAGCTTTGGGAAAGGTGCATAGGAAGCAGAGGCAGAAATATTTAATGACCTGAGAACAGAAGAGGCATTCAGCTGAGCTATAAGAGGGACAAATGAGAAATCCACTAGTTTCAGCTCCCCTCTGTCTCATAGTAGGGGCTCTACATTAGAGCGCTGATTCGTATGCGCTAGAAGATCCCGCTGGACTGGTTAAAGAAATTACCACTTTAGGCTTTCTACCGTAACACTCTTATAAACATTATAGTCTCTACTGCAAGGAACCGTCATGAATCAGACCATGAATGCTGCAGGCTACTGACAAACACATTAAAGTAAATGAACACTAATTTCTTTGAATCTGCTCCTACATGTGAGTCACCACAGTCAATTATCCAAATCAAACGTTTTAACAGTAAGCAGCAAAATACAGATTTGGATTAAATCATGCACAAATCCTGTCTATGCCACACGAAAGAGACTTGATTTCCATTACCGACGTTGTGGCACGACCCCAATGAAAAGCGTTCAGTAGCGATGCTGGCAGAGGAAACATCCACCCAGCTCTGCCCCCTGCTCTGCTCAGCGCCCCCGCAGCTCAAAGGGGAAGGGCTGATCCTCGCAGCTGACCAGCCAGCAATGTTCTCTCACGTTATCCTTAATAGTCTGGTCATGAGACAACTCGCTGCTCGAACAGATGCGCTCCCGGGGCAGGGAGGTGAATCCTGACTCTGCTGTGTAAGGAGCAAAACACATTCGGGTGACTGGACGCAGAAACGGACCACGCTAGAACCGCACTAATACCCCCCGTCACCACCCCAGGCGCCTATTGCTGGGAAGCGGGAGGCTCCGGGAGCCGGAGGGGCTCTTACGGGCCAGCAGGACGGGCCCGCGGTGCTCAGCAGAGAGGACGCCGGGCGACGACGGCCTC